CTCCTGTCAGGTTCAGCCCAAGAACAGCAATGAGGCAATCCAGTACAGTTCAGTTCCTTTATTAGCTTGCGCCTAATAGACAGAATCTCGCCAGACTCAACCTATGCTAAAGCAACTAGTGGCTATAACCCGTGAGACTCTAGGGAGGGGCCAGCCTCATCCTCTTCGTCTTCCCACACTCTTGCTGCGGGCTAAGGAGGTGCTTGCCCTGGAATGTCTCTCCCCTCTCCTGACAACCTTGAAGCTCCATTCCAGAATCTTCCCCGCTCATGCCATCCATCACAGCTCCAGCCTCAAACTACCTCAACCCTTCCAGGAAAAGCCAGATCTTCAAGGCTTTTTGGAAAGCTAGGCGGATAGGGGCCTGTTGGATCTCAGGGAAAAGGGTGCTCCAAAGGGCAGGGCCGCTACCAAGAGGGCACCCTGCATAGGTTCCGCTAGTGGGCAACATTTAAGGGAAGGGACCTGGAGTGCAGTCACCCTATCAGACCTAGAGGAAGGGGCAGATATCCTCAGGGAGAGGTGGCCCCACAAATAACCTGGCCCTGTGCCATTCAGGTCTTTAAAAGTGGTAACCAGAACTTTGAATCATATCCAGAAAGAAACTGGGAGCCAGTGCAGCTCATACAGCAGCGGTGTAACATGGGCAAATGATGGGCTGCCCACAGCTGCCCATGTCACCACATTTTGTACCAATTGTAATTTCCAGATGGTCTTCAAAGGCAGCCCCATATAGAGCATGTTGCACTAATTCAACCAGGAAGTGACCAGTGTGAGTGACCATGAACATGGCCTCCTGGTCCAGGAATGAGGGCAATTGGTGCACGAGATGAATCTGTACGAAGGCCCCCCTAGCCACAACTGCCTCCTGCTGAGCAGGAGCCATGAGTCTATGACAACCCCCAAATTATTCACCGACTTGGTCTGAGGGGGTATAACCCCAGCAAGGGTCAAAGATGTTACCTCACCATAATCTGGGGGACCAAAACCCCAGAGACACTCTACCTTGTTACGGTTCAGTCAAAGCTGATTCCTCCCCATCTTCAAACTCTTACAGCCTCCAGGCCCTAGCCAGCACCAGGACAGCATTACTTGGTCAGCCAGGACTGGAGATGTATAGCTAAACTGATGATACCACACCCCATTCCATCGGATGACCTCTCCCAGCGGTCTCATGTAGATGCTAAATTTGTTTGTGTATTTGTTTGTTTATTATTTAGGTATTTGTTTATACAGGGCCAGTTTAATCAATCTTTTCCTTGTGATTTGAGTTAGTACTTGTAAATTGAATACTAAAACTGATTATGGCTTTCTTTGTGCTTGAAAGTAGAAGAAAGTAGTACTTCAAAACACCCGAAGGTACTGTCCTTTCAAATGTGGCACCATTCCTAATTTGTAATATTGAGATTACTGTCATGTTGTCTTTTTGCGGTTTGTCAGTTCAATTTCATAGTTGTTTAAAATTGCTTGGCTTTCCAGACATGTGATATGTATAATCTTACATATTCAGAGGATTCCGTGTCCATAGGAGGCTTATGTGACTTGTATCTGATCTGTCTGGCTTATTTTATAGCTAGTTTATGTTGAAAGCTTTTTAAAACTTCTGCTGCTGCTGCTGCTGCTGCTCCGAATATTGTGCTTCTGCAAATGCAAGTCATATTAATCTGTTTTTTCTCTAAACTAGGTGGGGAAAATCACTCTCCGAATGTCACCGAATTAAATCTCCAACAGCTCAAACCAGTGTGGTCAATTTCTCCACCTTTGCTCTAAATTAATCTTTTATATTGTTCATTTTTCAGGGTGAACCTGGTGAGAAGGGAACAGATGGGCATATTGGGCCAAGGGTATGAATTTTCTGTTCTTTTTTAGTGCCTTAAAATACATAAACCTCAATTTATCATTTTCCAGTAGTTTAAATGGGAGGGATGTACAAGATGGTAATTATCAAAATAATTGTATAAAAACTTAGCTTTCCTGTGTTTTATCTGGGCACTAACCCAAGAAAAAGTTATAATTAATATAAACGTTCTGGAATAGAAAATGTTTTCAAGGAATTCTTAAAATTTGGCATTTGCATGGGACATATAAATGTAAAGGGTTACAAGTATTGGCAGATTCCATTTTGTATACTCAATTACCATCCTTGATATTGTGATGCTTTCAAATAATTACAATATCAAAGTCATATCCACTGTTGTGGATTGATCTGAACCTTACAGTAACAGGAGATAAATAATTTTAAGAAATTATTCCTTTTTCCTATAGCAAATTTTTCCAACTTTACATTCTTGAAGTGCATTGGGATTCCCACAATTCTTAGCCAACAAAGGAACTGCAATCCCAACTCATCTGAAAATTGCCAGGTTGGAGATGACTCTCCTTTCACTTCCCATACTGTTGAAATACTTACTAAATCCTCTGGGGAAGATTGAGGGAGATTAAGGGGAGGAAGTATCAATAAAGTCCCCTCTTTTCCCTCCATTTACAGATGCTTCTCCTGGATTAAATAACTTTCCATTAATGGAAAAGTGCAATTAGAAACAACTCTAGTACCTTTTGATGGATCACATCCATAAATTTAGCTTGTTTTATATATTAGCGGATTAACTTTCAAAATGGAAACCTTCCAAGGTGGTTTACAATATAAAGAATGAAAGCTAATCAAAAAATGAAAGAACATAATTACTGAAAGCTTTAGAACAAAATCAAACACCTAGCATAAAATACAATAAAACTGACTGCAATTTTTATCATACTTACCTGGAAGAAAAGCTGAACCAGTTGCATTTTGGAATAAACATGCATAGAATTGCAGTATAAGGCTACAATCCTATAGTTCCTTTCTTAGAAGAAAGCTCCACTTCATCTTAGATACTCCAGAGTTCATATGGTGATAAAAAGCTTTGAACAACAAAAAGGTTTTCACAAAGTGTCTTAAGAGGGACTTTAAAATTTTGTTATGGAAGAGTTCCATAGCTGAATCACCACTGTTGAAAAGGAGCTGGGCTTGATAATTAATTGTTTTAAATAATGGCAAGTTTGAGATCAGGGAAGTCAACAGCTAGGCCCTTATTGGGACTGTAGTAGTGTAGGTGATATTTGACTCTTCCCTCCAGTGGATAATAATTTATTGAGGTATCCTAAAAGTATGTGAATAGCAGAGCGTTATGCCTGTTACCATAAAACTTGCAATAACTTTTTCTTTTTAGGGACCTCCAGGCCTGAAAGGAGAACAGGGTGATACAGTAGTAATTGACTATGATGGTAGAATCTTGGAAGCTCTCAAGGTAACATGCATGATACAATATGGTCATACCATTTCCTGAACTAATGAATTAATCATGTAAATAAGGGGTAGGCAATCTGTAGGTCCCAGCATAGAATTTACAATATTCAGAGGCCCCAGCCTTGCCCCCTCCCCCTTGAATGAACAGGGGCAACATTTTCAGGTCTGAATTTTGTTTATTTTGGAGAGTTGTGAGGCAAAGCCTTAAGCCTTGCAAGTTTAAGACACCCACAGCACCTCTTTAAAAAAATATACCCCCCCCCCAAAAAAAAACCAGAAAAAAGAATTGGAAAATATTTCTCCCACCCACTCTTGTGACTATCCAGAATTGGTCAACCATCCCCAAGCTGGTGCTTTCCAGATATTCCAAGGTTGATAGTCACACTGGCTGGAATAAGTTAAAAACCATCAGAGCTGGTGTTGTCAGATACGTGTGCATCCGATCAGAAACCCAAATAATGTATCCTGCTTCTCTCAGTGGCCTGTCAGACGCCTATAGGAAATTATAATCAAAATATGAGGACAAGATATACGTTCTGCATAAGATTTAGTAAGCTAACTTTGAAAATTTAGGTCATGGCCCAGAGATTCCATTAATCAATATTTACAGCAAAGAAAGAAATATTTTTCCCCCAAGGACTACACGTAATGTAATGGAAGTGAAGCCCATCCTACCAAACAGAGGTAGAGCCAGAATCTCTCTCACATCTACACTTAACACATCCTCAAGCATATATTTTGAGTTGCATGCGTAGGCCACCATCTTCATACCCATGTATGACTTTGGGGGGGGGGCACAGTTATGGCTACCTGCATTTCCCCAGGGTTACGAACACTTCCAACAATTGACACACAAGTAACATTAACAGGTATTTGTTTCATAATAGATTGCAGTTTAGTAGTTACAGGAATGGACTTTACATTTTTCCTTTCAGATCAATAGATAAAAGCAATACAGCAATATCTTCTGATAGCAAGTTTGCACCGATTATATTATTTTTCCATTGGGAGAAGGGCATACTTTGAAACTACTGTTTTAGCTATGTGAAGTACATTTGAAAACCATCCTAATTCTTTTATAACAGGCTGTGGGGAAACCCAAACTGACGGTAATTGTGGTGTGCCAGATGTTCACTTGGATCGGTTTGTTGGAATGGCCCAGCATGTTGCTTTTGTGCCTTAGATTTCTGGATTGTGATCATTAACAAAAATTATGCTAAACATTTGGTTAATAAAATAGATCCAAATCTGAAGGCGTTGTTTACTTTGTTTTGTAGTTCTCTGGTTTACTAAAGTTTGGTGATTGATGCTGCAGTCATTGTGATGCTACCATAACTGGCCATCAGCAGAACTTAACATAAGAATGTTTTTTTTTTTTAACTCATTACTGAAATGAATGAGATGTATTTCTACTTAGCTTTGGCTTGACCAGTGCCTGTCATTACATTAATCCAGTACAGCCTTCCCCAACCTGTTGATCTCTAGATATATTCAACTCCCATTAGCAGCCAGCCAACATAATTCAAGTCCTAAAGACTTGGAGGTGCCAGGTTAAGGAAGGCTGTACCACCAAGAGCGTTAATGCTGCTTAGTTTTTGTCATTTTAGATCAGGAACAGGGACATATTTTAGCCCAAGGGCCAAACTAACTTTAGACTCCACCACACCAGAGATGGTTATTACTTTAAGTATTCCCAGTTTACAATTTAGATGATAGTGAGAATCTGATTACTAGAACATGCCTCACTCTGACTTGTATTTTTGTTTTAAGGGTAACTGCATGTTACCTTTATGGTGTGAAAAGGAATCTTGAATAACTAAATTCTGTTTTCCACTATCCTTCTCACCAAAAAATCCAGAATTTCCCATGACCAGTCCTCATGGACAAAAGACATTATGATTTTGGTAACCTAGTGTCTGACTATCTTACAAGAATAATATCATGTGATCATTAATTTACCAGCTACAGCCTATTTCGTACATGAATCACATGTTCACAGCTATTATCAGGAACTGGACTGCAATACCCCAGTAGTTTTTTTCTGTAGTGGCAAAACCTGCCTGTCAGCAATTATTCCATGTAGGGAATCCAGTTGTGCGAAAGCCTTTGTGCAAGCAACTGTTCATAAGCAGACGTCTTCCCTGCACATGAGCATCAGAGCCTGCAGTGCCACTCCACTCCTGATAATATATGATGGACCATACATGTATTTCTTCTATATGATATTTTTTAAATACACATTTGTCCCATACTTGATTTGTGCCCTGAATTAGCATTGGAAGACATCAGGTATTGCATATTCAGTGTAATATGTAAAAGGTATATAATTGTTTGGATTAGATCCAACGATTTCCTTTTACCAATGGAAGGAGTATTTCTCCAGAGGAGGGCAGTCTTTGGATTGAATTCTTTATGATGAAAGCTAAGTGGCATTTGTTAATAAGCTACAAGATCTTGTCACTTGCATGTAAATTCAGAGTGAACAAAATGAAATTCATCCATACTTAGTTTTTTACACAGTGCTTTCCACTCAATTGTTGCATGTATAATTATTATTTAATTTATATTGAATTGGTAAATTCAGTTCACGACACTCCTGCCAGATCATGTGATAAATTAAAATTAGGGAGCTTTATTTTGAAGGGATAATATTTAGTTTCTCTGAAAAGAGTTAATTACTGTAAAAAAGAAAAAGGCAAATAATTGTATTTAGTATAAGGGGAATAATCAATTTTGGGAACTAATAAGGTGATTGATATAAAGGAGTTTGCTTTAAGCAGTCAATCTCTCTCTATTCGCTGCTGGGTCCAGACAGATTTCCATTTTACCTTATATTCTCCCATGTATTTTAAGAGACTTCCATACAAAAGAAAAAAAAATCTTCACCATTTGGTGGCATTATGCTGATAATCCAAGATTTTCCACATTGAGAGAAACTCAGAAGAATATTAAGTGTACATATTTGTATCTGCCCACTGTTGCTAGTTGAAGAGATTGAAAAAGAAGGAAAGCAATATTTCCATGAAGTAACAACTTGGAGATGTGTAATTATTGATATAATAGAGGTGGATTTTATCATCTCATAATACATGTGATGCATAACTCAACAGAAATTGTTTATAAGCTTCTTGCACTGTGGGATAAATTCCCTGCAGTTAAAAATTAGATGGTCCACTCCATAGACATTTTTGTAAATTATCATTATTGTTTAAAATAACTGTTGCTTGATTTCTAAAAGCTATTCAGTATATAATTATTTATAAATGCTTTATTTTATAAACCACTGTTAATAACAACATCCTTGTTATTCTTTGTTCTAGGGGCCACCAGGGCCTCAAGGAGCTCCAGGACCAAAGGTTGGATTTCAATTCCTTTAAAACAAAATACGTTGTTCTATCCAATGTCCATTTGGCATCACAGTTGTTGATTCATGTGGGTTATTTTATAAATGACATCGTTCCTTTGAGAACTGATCAGACTAGTGATGAGGAGTTTTGAAGATTAACAAATAGAATTATACATTCTATAGAATTATGCATCTGGAAACTTGGAGCTATGTATTTATTTTAATTTCTTTAGTGGTATGCATTAGGTTTGTTAATATAGTTACTTGCATTTTGACAACAGTTGCTGATAGAGGGTCTTAATAGCTATTTATGAAGATCTAACAACTTTTCTGAAAGATAGCAAAAGCTATCTAACTGAAGTCTAGCAAATGTTACTTTGTATACCCACTGAGATTTTTTTTAATTCACTTGGGCCTTGAAAGTTTGCCTTTGTTTAGAAGTTAGAGGTGGAAAATGTTTAAATTCCATTAGTATAGATTTTTTAATTCTGAAATACAGAATCATAAATTCAGGTAAGTGTACATAGAATTGCAGTCTGAAGAAATTGGGTGCTTCAGCTGAAATATGCAACTCTATTGATGCCTCTTCAAGCCTTGAGAATCACCATAATACTTAGTCCAAGAAAATTAGAGTTCTTTTGCAGAACTTAATTTGAACTGGTTGGATTTAGAATGTCCTCTTTGTCCTGATTTATTCATTTTCTACAATACCTTAGGGGGAGCTTGGTTTGCCTGGTCCACCTGGAGTCGATGGAGAGAAGGTATGTTTCAGTATTAATATGTTCAGCATGAAAGTGTTTGGCTGAATTTCCTTTAAAATAGAAAATGACTGTTATGGCTACAGTTCTATACCTTCTTAGCTGTAAGTAAAGTGCAGTGAATTGAGTAGGTTGTTAGGAGATTGCCAAGGTTATTAAAGTGGTTGGAGTCTTCAAGGGCTTGTAAGGAAATGAATTTTATAAACATGGGCTTGTTTTATTACCATTTTGAACAAACATTGCTGACAGAAATAAACAGAAGGAGCAAAATTTTTACTTGTCGTACTTTTCTTTCTTTTTGTGAGGTCCAGCAACCAGATGTAATTTACATTAAAAAAGAAAATAAAACAGAGGAAGAAACTCTGGAAGATAAAGATAAAAATCAAAAGACAAGTATTCTAAAATAGAAAGGTTTTATTATTATCCCTAGAAATATTTGGGGCTGACTGAAATTCAAGCAAGCTTTATCTGTCTATCAGTTTATCTCATCAGATATTCAAAATCATTTTAATATGGCTGTGTAAGTCTTTAAAAGAAGTCCTTCACAACTTCTGGAGACAGCTTGGTGCTTTTTACAAAACAACCAGCCATGAAAAGAAGATGTGGCTTTTTTTGGAAATTTGAAGAGAGGTGCTTTGCGTTGTGCAGGAGCAAAGGATCGCATAGCACTTCAGAATGCAGAATGCCCTTAAATTTCTTGAGCTGTTCAGAGATTTGGTACAGAAGCGACCATAGAGCAAAACCACTGTAGAATGTGAATGTGTGTGCATGCCATTAAGATGTCTTTGAGGACATCTTGCAGAAGTAAATACTGGAAGTTCCACCAACAGGCGATATCATCCAAGAGCCTTGGCGCCATGGGAGAAGGAGGTTTGTGTAGGCTCGTAGGAGAGAAATAAGAACCATATAGAGAAAATAGAAAATAGCACCAGAGCAAATACTCCTCTGGAACCCTGCAGAGAAGTGAAGACCACTTCCTCCCAAAGTAACTAATCCACTGAAAATTAATGTCCCCTCCTCCCCCACCCCCCCACCCGACCATTATTACCCAGCACAACAAAAGATTGCAGTAACAATACCATCTGGTTTAGCTGCCCATCTGGTTCTTTATTAGTCATTCTACTGGTATGCTATAAGATTATAAATTTCATTCAAAATAATTAACTATCTTTTGTGTAGGGAAGTGCGTGATACCAAAATCTTTCGGAAACAGTCTTACACTGAGAATGTTGTTCTATTCTTTATCATCAGCATTTGATCATAAACGGGTCTTTCTTCTGTAAGCAGAAGTTAATGTATCCTGAGCAATTCTGGGGAAAAAAATGAATCCTTTGAACTAAAGCCCATTCATGTAGCTCTTTTGCTTTATGTTGCAGGGATCTAAAGGGTCAAAAGGAGACCAAGGAAGCCCTGGGCTAGTAGGACAGAAGGGAGAGATTGGAGAAGTTGGCATGACTGGTTTACCTGTACGTCTGTATCTAATTTTTTTCATTAAGTTTGGGTGGCAGCCTCTAACCCTTCCATACCATTAGGTGACATCCCTAGAGTGGGAGGGGCCAAGTAGTTTCTGTCTGTGTAGGATTGGAGGTTTTAGGGAGGGAAATATAAGTGGGAGCAAAATGATCCTATTCCCATCCTTAAAACAGTCCTAAAATGCAATACCAGTCTACAGTTGGGCCACTAAAGTCCAGGTAGTTCTCGCTTACCAACCATTCATTTGGCAACTGTTCAAAGTTATGATGGTGCTGAAAAAAGAGACTTACCAACCGGTCCTTGAAGTTGCAGCTGTCACGGAGTCCCCACAATCACTTGATCGCAATTCAGACACTTGGCAAACTTCTCACGTTTACGATGGTCGCAACATTCCACAGTCATGTGATTGCCATTTGCAACCTTCCTAGATGACTTCTGATGAGCAAAGTCAATGGGGAAGCCAGCAGGAAGTCACAAGTTGCGGCCAGGTGACATTGCGCTTAATCACCCATGGTGATTCACTTAACAACTGCTGCCAGAACTGACATTTTAAGTTGGTGCAGTCATACGACACCGTGCTTAACAGCTGCACCTTATAGCGATGGAGTTGCCAGTCCCTACTGAGGTTGGTAAGGACTACCTGTATTGTGATTTTGATACCAAATTCCAGTGGCAGGCTTTTGCCCATTTTTCAGGGCTTAAGAGTGGTAAAGATGAAAAGGACGAGAGCTGTTGCCTCCTTGACATCTCCTGTTCCCATTTCCATCCCTGTGGAGGGTTGGGGGGAGACAGAAAAATGATCAATGGTACATTCACAGAGGGCTGGAGTGTTTGTTTGTTTATTAGTTCAATTTATATGGCCACCCATCTCAAATTAATACTCTGGGCAGCTAACAATGTTAAAAATATAGAAACAGAAAAAAAAACACATATAAAACAGCAACCAGGGTAAAAACAGATCCATCAATAATAATTAACCATGCACGGATGTGACCCCACCTTCTGACCCCCAGGCCCAGTGACAGAACCAAGTCCCTAAGGCCTCACAAAAGGCCAGCAGGGCCAGGGCCAATCTGATCTCCGGGAGGCTGATGTTCCAAAGGTGGGTGCCACAATGGAAAAGGCTCTCTTAGCTATCAGTGCCGTGTTGCAGATGGTGTTCTTCTGACCCAGTATGCATGTTATCCAACCTTATGTTATACTGTACAGATCAAATGTCCACCCCGTGCATGAAGTATATCAGAAAAATATGGCCATTTTGGTATCTGTTATAAGCCATGTTAACATTACCAGATCCTGCCCAGCACTTTTTGCCAGCTAAAGCCCAAGTGCAATTCCTAAAACACTTTTGAAGACTGCTTAGCAATCAAGAGGTAGAGTTTCCTACACAGTCTCCTCGGTGAAGTTTTTAGGCAAGAAACTGATCGGCAGGGATTTTGAGTGGCCAGACCTCTTTCAGCTTTTAGTATTTTGCTCCTCTAGAGAGACATCAGCTGCTGCCATTTCTCAGCTTAAAAGCAGAAATCTTTGCATTACTTGTATTTATCCTTAACGCTCTGTTGTGGCACTCACATTTTTTAATTCCACTTCCTAATAAAGTCTATACCATCTGGACAGGTTCTGTAAACTGGTATGTAAGAAGCATACATTACCCTCACATTTTTCCCCTTCTCGGTTCAAATTCCTGTGATGATTGATTGATTGATTGATTGATTGATTGATTGATTGATTGATTGATTGATTTGGCACAAAATCCTTTCTTTTTGCAAATCTACATACCTGTGTTTTAATTTGAGCACACTATTGTATTCCTGTAGCCCCACCAAATAGTATCTATTTGGTAATAGTAAATAGTACACAGTGAAGGAGATTCTGATAGAATGGCAGTGACAGATACAAGTTCTTTGTTGAACAGCTGCATTTGTGAACTGGAAAATAGTTTGTATTAGGCTCAATTGGTGATTTATTCCAGTTTACAGGAACTTTTTAAAGGTTATCTTCCATAAGTATGTATATACTATATTGCCTGGATATTTCCTCTTCAAAAGCTCTCATACTAATCCCCCCAGTCTTTTTCAGGGAGGGACTTGGGAAACTTGTGGAAGATCTCAGAGGGTAATGCATATTGGTGAGATAAAAGTGTTTGGCCAATTAACAGCGCATCATACTTTTGTTTCATAACTTACAGGGCCCTAAAGGATTGAAAGGAGACCAAGGAAACCCTGGATTAATGGGACAGAAAGGAGAGATAGGAGAAATGGGCTTATCTGGTCCACCGGTATGGTCTGCCTTCAGTACTCCCTTTTTGTTTCAAAGGCTAGCTAAAATATGGCTGCTTATTACAGTAATCTGTAGTCGAACAAGGCTAATTTTTTTTTTTTTTACTGGTGAATTCTACTGATCAGGAGCTCTTGAAATTTGGCTGAGGAAGCCACCCTAAGAGATGATTACCAGGTCCTCTGCAGTATAGGCAGGCCATCTGCTCGGCCTCCACAGTTACCCAGATTGCTAGGAGAGCCATCTTCTCCTCAGGATGTTCCTCTCAATCACATTACACCTCTCTGTTTCTTTTTCTGACTCACATACGGGTCCCCAGCGTATACAGACACTATCCACTCAGCTTCCTCCCAGACATTTTAAGCAGGGTTGTAGAAGGAAGGAGAAATCAGTGAGGCTCCCCTGTCACAATTTGTGCCTTTTGGACTGGTTGGAAGGAGGGAACCTTATTCCCTTTCCCTCCTAGCTATTCTTCTCAAGGTCTTGAGAAGAAGGAAGGATGAGGCTACAAAGGCAGTCTCCTGCAGATTACTCATCTCTCACTGCCATTAGTGGCAGAAAACCAGGAATAGGACTTTGGATTAGGGGTCTGGTTAAAACATGGGTGGAGACCCTGCGGTCACACTTTTTGTAGCTAAGTGTCACCTGAAACACATAGGTTGCCCACTCGTATTAAAACTCAGCTTTAGTTTTAGCTTTTCAAATCAACTAGCTAATGCACAATGATGATTCTGTTCTACTATTTTGATGAAGCTTCCAGAATCTATACAATTCTGCCTTTTATGCCATTCTTATTATATCTTAAATCATCCATTTTTCTTATAAATCCACTCTGATCTTGCACCCAATTGAATTAAAGTCCACTCTTTCCTTCTCCTTTCTATTCCAATATAAAATAAGCTCAGATTTGGGAGTGCAAATGATCAATGTAAAATTTGGTTGTTTTCGGGCCTTTTGGCTGTAAAATAAATATTGATTGATGTAAAATTTGGAAGCAAAGAAGAAGCCGCATTAATAAAAAGAACATTCCTCAGTAAAAGAGATATTCCTAGATCATTTATGCAACTTAAAAACTTACAAAACATCAGACATCTATATTATTGATCACTTTATTTGTTTGCTTATTTAATGTATATGGCTGCCTCTCAAGTACATGACTCTGGGCAACTAACCATTAAAAACAGAATAAGAACAATAAACAAAATTATAAATAACATACATAGCAGCAGAGCAACCAACCTACAACACTAGAGCAACACCAACAATCACCCAGTTATACATAACCAAGAAATGGGCTCACCCACACCCATTTAAGTATATCTTCGTATACTTGAAGATATTATGGAAGTATGTATGGATATTGGATTTGGATGTAACACTAACTATGGAATTCTTGGGGTTCTCAGAGCTTGGTTGTTTTCTTGCAGACGTTTCATTACCCATCTAGATAACGTCTTCTAAGATGTTACCTAGACGGGTAACGAAAGGTCTGCAAGAAAATAACCAAGCTCTGCAAACCCCAAGGACTCCACAGTTCAGCCCTGAGCTACATATATTTGCTTCTGTTGGTAACCCTAACTATACTGGAATCACATATAACATTTTCCTGCTTATAAATCAGCCTTCAGTGAAACTCCTTGTTAGATGTTACATCAGTACATTTTATATTGGCTGTTTCACTTTCCACTCTTCATATGTTCATGTTTTGATAAAAGCTACTACACAGAGGCAAAGAGGCACTATGTTAAAAGTTGGTATAAATATGTCTACGTATTTGTAAATGACACTAAATCTGCCACCCTAGAGAGCCGTGTGCCATAAGGGCAGTGAAGTAGCTTCTCTATGCAGCTATTGGGTTTGGCCCTGCCTCACTATTGGTTCCAGTCGACAAATCAAAACAACTGTTTCATTTCTCCTAACCATCAAAAGAGCTCTGCAATTCACTGTGGATTGACATGACTTCCTTTCTGAAAGCAGCATATGTTAGAGAGATTTCCCCAAGATAGGTGATCACTCATTAGCGATGCTGCAAATTGTTGCAGTACTGTACTAGATTTCTTAGTACTATTGAATTTCCACAATCCAATTATCTGGTTAAGAGTATAAGAGCCAAGAGGAGAGCCAAAAAAAAAAAAAAAAATCCCACTGAGGACTAATGGGAAATCAGCTCAAATAAAGTTTCCAAAGAAAGGAAAGAGACTTGTCTTCCTTTATCTAGAACTATTCTCAGATATCACTGTTTTTATTTCTTGTTACTGCTTAGGGTATTGATGGACCAAAAGGAGAATCTGGGGCACCCTGCAAGCAAGATCTTGTAAGTTGTCACCAAGTGAATATATACTCGCCAAATATCAAGTTACTATCAAAATATGCCAGGGTGCAAAATTACAGCCTGTTATGAAAGCAACAGTTCAATTTCCTATAACAAACATAACTTTTTAGCTTGTTTTGTGCCGTGCTTTTTCACCACTCATGATGAATAAGGTAGCTAACAAAAGTAAAAAGTAAAATGCAAAAGTAAAATGTAATTAAAATACACATAGAAGCATGTATATTTTAATTACTAACAAAAGTAAACAGTGAAATGCATAATTAAAATGTAATTAAAATGTACATCGAAGTATTAAAATTATCATCGCGTATTGGCTTCACTGAGTCTGCAGGGTATTTAAGGGTGTTTTCACATTTGGAACCAAGTCATTTATTTGGAAATTATTCACTTAAGTTGCATGGCAAGGCTGCTTGCTTGCAAGAATAGTTTAAGATCATAATGTAAAGCTGGAGCTGACAATCTTTTGTGGCTGTACTTACCACACACAACAGAGAGGCTAAGGACTGCCATGTGGATGGGGCCATATAGCCTGGGTTTTTTTCACAAGGTGGCAGATTTTTTAAACTGCAATATGGCTTTGAGGCAAGAAGCAGTATCCATCTGTTACTTATTTCAAAACGGCACGAGACAGCATGATTAATTTGCAACAGTCTTGGTTAGAAAAGACTTCAAGGACTGCAAGAAGGTAAAATGCCACAAGTTGCCCATCTTTCATCTAGGATTGCTTCACATGTATGAAATTCCTGTCTAGATGGTCACATGCCACAAACATGCCTTTCGGCTGTTTTCTGCCATGCTCTCTTGCTGAATAGGAGAACTTGCACCCAGTATTTAAGGAAAAATGTACCCAGAAACATGATGCGTGATGTTATGGTAATGTTGCAATTCCAGGGGTGAGCTGGGCACTCTTAAGCCTATGAGAATTAGATGCATCATGGGGATACTGGGTTTGCAGAAAACTGTACGCTATATCCAGGACTCGCTCTTTAGAGGAATAATTTTTAAATATTTTCTCCCATCTATTAATTGCCATGCTTTTTCAATAATGATGTCCCACTTTTAATTTTTTCATATAGTTCATGCTGTACGTTCAAATGATTTGTAATGTCATTTACAGGTGCAGATCATACCTGAACCAGGACCTCCTGGCTTACCAGGTCCACCAGGTCCTATGGTAAGTGTTATTAGAACTATTTTCCAGCTCAGGTAACTTGGCTGGGCTGTTTACAACTCTACAGTCTATGTGGCCCCAATCAAGCAGACCCCTTTGAATTAAACAATTAACCTTTGATGATCATTGCAAACATTTACAGGTGTCCTCAAGTTACGTCCATTCGTTCAATGACTGTTCCAAGTTATGATATTGCTGAATGAATGGTAGTTATGACCAGTCCTTGAAGTTCCAGCTCTTGCAACATTCCTGCAGTCACATGATCAAATTTTGGGTGCTTGGTGACCGGCCCACATTTACAACTGGTTGCAGTGCCCCACAGTCACATTGTCCTGCCTTGGGCAAACTGCCTCTGCTTCAACTCCCCCCACCTGCCTATCTCCCCCCCCATCTCTGACTTTTGGCTGCCCTGCATTCCACTGCCTACCCCTGCTGCCCTCCACTGCCACCCCCCAACTGACCTTTTCTATCTTCTTCCTTCTACTGCTGGCCTGGGATCCAAGCACTGGGTGAGGGTGCAGCCCCTGGATGTGCATAGCAAGTGCAACAGGGCAGCAGAGTCTTATCTGTCGAAGGGAACTTGCCAGGCCCAGCCAGAGAGGATGCAGTGGGACATAGGAGGAGACAGAGCGCCAGTGCAGGCGGAGTCCCATCTTCTGCAGCAAGGACTGATAGCCCACAGATTATGAAGAACGCAGCAGGATGGGGAGGAGAGGCAGTGGTGGCTCCCTGGGAGAAGGTGGCAGCTGTGCAAGAGGCACTTTTCATGTGGCAGTGGAACTGGAGGAAGCAGAAGGACAAGGACTTCCCAGAGGCACAGCATGCACTCTTTAGCTTGTGTTGGAAGTGCTTCTAGAGAATTGGCCTGTGGGCTTCACCAAGGGGTAGAGGCAAGCCCAGTGCCAACAGAGCCTACTCACAGGACCTCTGCTCACTCTGCCCAGCCTTCCTCCTGCAAGGCCTCGCAAAGGGCCAGCAGCTTCCAACACGAGCTTAACAACCGCTTCGCCTAGCAACGGAAATTCTGGTCCTAATTACAGTCATAACCTGAGGACTACTTGTACAATACTTAAAGACCTTCCTGAAGTAATTGCCTATTCATGTCCCTTGCCTCTTGGGCCAATGTAGAATAATATCCTAAACACTTCGGAGCCAAAGCCATCTTTAACATGGGTTTATTTGTTTGTTTGTTTGTGTGATTACGAAGATAAACCCTAGACTGATGCATTGACTTAAGAAATATAAATATTTTCTGCACATATCTGAGAGATAAAATTTTGGGAATAGTTTTGAGTACAAGGTGAACAACATACTAAGATAACAAACAACATTTAGAATTGAGTTTTTAATACTGGGTGACTGTAACAGGAATGAACAATAGGGCCTTTCAAATGTTGATGTACAATAACATTGTTCCCAGCAAGTATATTTTATCTTGGAGATGGTTGGAATTGATTTTGTAGTGCTGACATTTTGAGCATGAATGTTACATATTTTAGGATATTTTACAAATGAATCGTTGTTATCCTTAGGGTCCACAAGGAATACAAGGACATAAGGTAAGCCCTTAATACCTAAACATGATACAATATATCACATATTTCTACTAATATATGTGTTGTACTGATGGCCATTATAGTAATGCATGCCATCACTTCATTTTATTTATTTATAACATTCCCAAAGGAATATCACCTGCTGAGATATTTTCCCTTCATTTGATTTCAGCCCTTCCATGAGTCTATATCCTCTCCACATTGGTCACACTTCATTCTCTCCATCAAGAACCTCCCTTTAAAGTTGCTATTTGGAGATCCTGTATTTGTATCAATAGTAGGACATGGTGCTAAACTCTGCTGGCCAAGCTAGGGATCCAATTTTTATAACCAAGTTTTCATATGATTGAAAGAACCTGGGACCACGTTACAGATTATCCAAAGTCTAGCTATTTATTTACCCATTCATTCATTTATACATTCAACTTGTACAGTGTTGTAATCATAATGGAACCCTGTGGTTGATAACCTAATACATTGTTAAATATTAAATACGTAATATTTAAACACCCATGGTAAGCAAATAGTAAAACACTAATGGTAAGGTTTAAGAAAAAATAATAATGAAATAATAGCCAACTAATAACATGACCTCACATCCACCTCCAACCTGGTCTACAAATGCTCTTTGGAAGAGTTCCATTTTTAGCATCTACTGAAAAGAAATCAAAGATTAGGCAAGTCTTGTCTCAACAGTGAGGCTGTCCCAAAGAACAGGTGCTGCTCTTGAGAAGCAGCACCTTTTAACATCGACACCCCTTACTTCACCGAAGCACTACTAACACTCTCTTGAGGCAAAGGAGTGGACAGGCTGATTTTGACTGGAGATTGTGGTCCTGAAGATATTTAGGTGTCAAACCACTGCACATAGGGCTTTATGGTCGAAACAATCGCACCTACATCAAGGAAGCCTGTCATTCAGTCAGTGTTTGCGGCACAAAAATATTAGTGCTCACAAGCAAAATGCAATATTTCTAGCCATGAGTGTTCTTAAATAGAGAACTTTTTTATTAGAGACTGTAGCTGATCCTCATTAAGGCTGGTCTGCCTACAAGGACATCCAGGTCTTCTGCACTGTTCTTCAGATGTTCATTGCCAAAATACTCTATTTTACAAACAAGCACTTTCATGTCACTTCTGATATTCAACCTGGAACAGCCAAGTGGCTGTGTTATTAATTCTAGCTCAGAGTTCAGAGACTCCTGGACTAGTGGAAATTGATTGTCCCTCTTATCCAGTGCTAGAGCTTGGCTCAGCTGGTGCAGATGGTTCAGTGAAATTATTGGATCCATCTTCTTTCTTTGAGGAGTTGAGGCTATGATAAGCTGGTTGACCTTTTCCTCTATCTTCTCATGTTTCATATTTCAGATGAAAAAGTGCATCATCTCTGACCATATATCCATTTTGATATAAAAATTAGATTTACCACCCTTAGATATGAATAGACACATGAATGAACAAACATTGCTCCCCTTCTGTTAGAATGTAATGTTGCCACATTCAAAAGTAAAAAAAAAATTACATAGTTCAAACACTAATGAAAAATAAATTATGTTAATTTAAAAATGCTTAAATTAAATTTTAATTTAAAAATTCACTGTTACAACCTCCCTCTCACGTTTTTTTACTCTGCTATAAGCCGCTTAAGTTATGGGCTGGCCTGTACATGTTCAGGTGGCAGAATTTTAAGGTTGAATGAATCCAATTGGTCTATAGCGGTGATGGTGAACCTATGACACGTGTCAAAGGTGACACGCCATGATGTTTTGGGTGATATACCAGTGTTCACCAACACTTGACAACAACTATTCTCCCTGTTTGAGTTACCAAAGAAACTGAATTTGTTTTACTCATATTTCATTTTTGTAATTATTTGATTTCTTTATATAATACATAGCACCACACATGATTCGACTGTATTTTTTTAAATAAATGAGTATGTTAAGAATTGTTTCTCTTTTGTTGGAGGGGGGAGTGACACACCAGCAGAGTCAGGTTAGGCATTTTCTGAATTTTTGACACCCTGAGCTCAAAAGGTTCACCATCGCTAGTCTATAGCTACTTTCTTTAAATGATGTGAACTTAACTTGTAATGTAATGTGGCAAAGGTTTTGTCCCTCACCCTATTAACTACATATATCATTCTATTTCCTTCTGCATTGCAAGAAAATGATGGAAACAAATAATGGCACAAGCTATTTCAGATTGCATCTTTTCGTTTGTATCCTTGTACTATTCAAAGTCTCTTGTTTCAGTTCAGAGTGCCATGATAGAGAAGTCATTTTGTAAATGCCCACTTTTCTCTGCAGCCTCCTCCCTCATGCTGTTCCAAAAAAATGTGGATTTGTAAGTTGAAAATAGGTAGAGACAGAAAAAGAACCAACATAAAATGTCTTCCCATTCCACATAATCTTCTACTGTATTGAAGAGCCTTCAGTGAGAGAAGGGAGACAAGTGGATTATTAACTTAAAAATCTGAAGATTTTTATTAGATATAAACCTGTATCTAACATTTTTTTAAATTTTCAAATGTCCTGTTGTTTTCTTACAGGGTCCTCAAGGAATTCAAGGACAAAAGGTGTGTCATAAAAAGTATTAATATATTTTATAATTGTAAAGTAGATCTTGAGTACAAGAAGAAAACCACTGACATTGAGAAGTTAATTTCTAATAGAACATTGATTTGAAGAAAAAATAGGCAGGCTATATTAGTATAAAAGGTTTTATTTCAATGAGGATCTAGTACTAAATCCTGATTATGGATTCAGAGGGCGTCAACAACAGTTTGTTTCTTTGGTAAAACAACTTTTTGCAATAATTTTTCAGAGAAAAGTTTCAAGAAGCTTATGGAAACATTCACCTAGACCAGGAGAACTCATACTGGAAGAGGCGTGTATAGGTTTACATAAAAATCCAATTTCCAAAATCTGTTCTGACACAAGTGCCCTAAAATCACTGGACATTTAGCATAAAGTTTTAAAAGCAAGTATTTAGCACATACAGCCCACCATGCTTACAGAGTTGTCTTTGATCAGGAATCAGGGATGTTTGCAAATTCTTTATTCTAATTTTTCTGTCTAAAGAAGGGTTACAGTTCTACATATAGTGCTAAGGAGTAAGCCTTATAATTGTTTATTTCAATATAGTAAACAGTCTTGAAATGTATTAAATGTAAAGAAATTAACCAACATTGTAGAATAACTCTTTCTCTGGCGTCAGTTGAACCATAACTAATTGAATTACATACCAGTTCATCTACTGTATATACGGAGACTATTTCTGTTGCTTTTTTTGTTGAGGCGGGGTATCTTTAGTTTCAATGAGGACAAACATTAATTGTCAGGAATTATTTTCAACAGTAGTTTTTCAAGGTACATTGTTATAACAGGAAACTGAAAAAACTGCAGAGTCTTTTCCTCTAATGAAGAGTTAGAAGGGTGTTAACTTTTGTTAAAGAATATACCATCTTACATTTCCCTTGAGAAAAGTGTGGGTGCTATGCAACTCTGATTTAGAGTTGCAAATGTAACTGATTTATGAAGCAGAAATAAAGCAGCTTATTAAATATAATGTGATTATTTGAAAGCCTAATCAATATATTTGTTTTCCTATAGGGCTCAGATGGCACAAAGGGTGCAAAAGGTGAAAGTGGCCATAAAGGTGACAGAGGTGCCCCTGGGCCACATGTGAGTAATTATAAAATCTCTTATAAAACCTGTCAGGAAGAACAGAGGAGATATCCCAAATCTTTCTGATAATTTTCATTTTCTCTAGGGTCCTACTGGCACACCTGGACTTATTGGCTTACCAGGTACTAAAGGGGAAAAGGTAAGAACTGAATAATTTTTTAAAAAGATCATTAAGATGTATTGTTCAATTTTATCTGCTATAAAGTCACCCAAATAATGTATTTTGGATATATCTAGTGATCACTTTACCATAACAGATAAATCCTTCTGTCATGAAAGATCAGGCATTTGATTCAGTCCAAACTCTTCCATTTACCGAAGGCGTTCTGCGTTCCGTCACATTTTGCTCTAGAAGGTCACGGAACCCTCAGAAGCTACATTTTAGAGGGAAGGCAACTCTCTCTGCTGGCTTCTTCCTGTCAGCGAAGCAAACAGTTGCAGTAGGGACAACTCCGATTCTCTGACATTTAAATTAAGGGATGCATTTTAGCCAGGTTGCATAAATTGAATATAGGAGAAAATCTGCCAGCTGTGTTTGTAATAAAAAATAAATAAATCATGTACAACAAATTAAAAACTGTTATCACACTTGCTTTCTTTTTGCCCTACTCAAATGACAGATGACCCTAAAATTGTGCTGAATAAGAGTTTGCGTTGTCCTAATGCAGTACATGATGGTTAGTAGGAGATAGATAGAATATTGCCTAATTTTTCCCATTGAGGCAAAATCTTCTTAGGCACCTGGATTCTGTGTGTGTGTGTGTGTGTGTGTGTGTGTGTGTGTATTTAAAATTATAGACTTAATGTAATCCACATAACGTGGTATTCCCCTGCCATCTTTTCAATGTTCTCTATTTCTCCTTTTTAATAATACAGGGAAAGCCAGGGGAACCAGGATTAGATGTAAGTAATCAGTACTTTATCTACACCGTGTCATCAGTGTGTCACCAAGTAACACAGGAAATAATTTAGGTGAAACTGTTGTCGGGCATATGTTCTGGTTCCAGGTTCATCCCTGGCATTTCTACTTAAAAGTTTTCAGGTAGCACAGTCAGAAGACCTCCAGCCTATAGACTTACAATCATTTTAGGGCTACAATATGTAGGCTGTAAAAATTCAAACAACCATTAATGGCAACAAAGAGATAGAAATAACTCCAAGTTTGTGCTATCATCTTCTGGTCCTTTGGATTCTTTGCAGCCCAGATGTGGTTGCCCTAGTTATTGAAACTCAAAATGGAAAGAAGTCCTAAAAGGTTAGCTGATTTCTGGTATAATACATACAAGAACAGTTCCTCATATTCTATTACTACAAGTCAGCAGTCACTTGAGAGTTTTGAAAATATAAAGGAAAAATGGTTTGATAGGGAAAAATGTAATGCATGTATACTTTTTATTCATGCCAACTGCTGGGGAAAAGTTATGTAAAGGAGCTTGGGACTATTGGTCTCTCTTTCTCTGTCTCTCTCTGCCAATAGGATAACTATAAACAGAAAGGAATAAGATCAAATTTAGCATGGGCCAGGGCCCCCAAACTCTTCAGCTCATCAACTCCTTCATGAAGTTTCAGATTGTTCATCAACTCCCAAACTTTTATTATATGAAAATAATTTAATGAATGCTATTTTAACAGTACTATAAATAATAACAACAACAACAATGGATAGTCCCATCAACTCTTGGGGGTCAGTATTGACCACTTGGGAGGAACCCGACGTAAGCGATCAAACATTGGTTGGACCTGGCCAGGGGCTGCAGAGAAAAAAATCCATTAAAAAAAATCCCCTATTGTGCTGCAATGGAAAGCAGGTGGGCAGTGGCTCAGTATGCAGCTGCCAGCTCTATTCTGAGCCCCCCTCCTGGTCATGTGACCTAGAATGGAGCTACTATTAAGGGGTTGAAAAGAATTCCAGCATCCATGCGCTGCCTGATTTTTCTACCTTATTTAATTTCAAGCTCTGATTCTGTTTTTCTCATATGGAGAAAAGTGGGTTGTGGTTACTAGATAGGCCTTTTTAATATTGGCCTACCACTTGTAGACTTGTAGAAAGGTTCATGGAGAATAAGTCATCTTGAGTCTCCTCTATATACTCTTTCACAACATGCAAAAAAAGTTAGATTTTAATCCTGCTAATTTAGTCCTTCTAACGGTTCCCTGCTGCTTTTTGTCATTTTGTAGCTTGTAGTTTTATTTATATAAATTATTTATTATTTTTTGGAAGCCTCCCTGGGAATATATTTGCAGGCTAGCATAAACATACAGGTAGTTCCAAGTTCCCAAGGTCTGTCCTTAAGTCAAATTTGTATGTAAGCTGGAACGGTG